TCGTTTTGTTACCCCCCTCCTTTCTTCTCCTCCCCATCCTCATTTCCCTCCTCCTGTCATCCCGCGCCTGTTCCGTCCCTCCCCCATCCGACCGCGGGCGTGACCTCGTTTTTTTCCCAACCATCATGTGGTGTTGAGTCCTGGTTTTGAAGAGACGGTCCCCGCGTTCCCTCCTTCCTTCCTCCCTCCTCCCTCCCCCTCCTCCCTCCTCCCTGCGTTTCACCCACCCAGCACAGCGCTTCGTGGTCCCATAGGGAGCTCCACCGAAGGCCCCAGTGGCAGGGTTCGCATGGCGGCCCCGCGCCATTTTGGCGCACCCCTCACACGGCTCGTGGCCCCATAGGGAGCTCCACCGAAGGCCCCAGTGGCAGGGTTCGCATGGCGGCCCCGCCCCATTTTGGCGCACCCCTCACACGGTTCGTGGCCCCATAGGGAGCTCCACCGAAGGCCCCAGTGGCAGGGTTCGGATGGCGGCCCAGCGCCATTTTGCCGCACACGGTTCGCGGCCCCATAGGGAGCTCCACCGAAGGCCCCAGCGGCAGGGTTCGCATACCGGCCCCGCCCCATTTGGGCGCACCCCTCACACGGTTCGTGGCCCCATAGGGAGCTCCACCGAAGGCCCCAGTGGCAGGGTTCGTGGCCCCATAGGGAGCGGTCAGGGTTCGCATAGCGCCATTTTGGCGCACCCCTCACACGGATCGTGGCCCCATATGGAGCTCCACCGAAGGCCCCAGTGGCAGGGTTCGCATGGCCGCCCCGCACCATTTTGGCGCACCCCTCACACGGTTCGTGGCCCCATAGGGAGCTCCACCGAAGACCCCAGTGGCAGGGTTCGCATGGCGGCCCCGCCCCATTTCGGCGCACCCCTCACACGGTTCGTGGCCCCATAGGGAGCTCCACCGAAGGCCCCAGCGGCAGGGTTCGCATAGCGGCCCCGCCACATTTTGGCGCATCCTTCACACGGTTCGTAGCCCCGTAAGGGGCTCCACCGAAGGCCCCAGTGGCAGGGTTCGCATGGCGGCCCCGCGCCATTGTGGCGCACCCCTCACGCGGTTCGTGGCCCCATTGGGAATTCCCCTTGTTTTGTCCCACTTGCCCTGCGGTTTTCCGGTTTTCACACTTGCGTATGGTTGGGTCCTTCGCGAGGATAATGTTACTCAGTGTTCAGTTCCTCATCATTCCTGCCCCCCTTTCTCCCTCGTCCATTGTGCCCCCTCCCCCAGACTCCACCATTCATCCTCGTTTTCAGTGATCTTCAAGTCCCCCTCCTTCTCAGCATCCTCCTGTTCCTCGACCTCCCTCGTCCATCCTACCTCATTATTCCTCCCTCCTTCTCAATCCCTCATCCCCCCATATGTTTCTCGTCCTTGTTTTCCTCGTTCTTACTCGTGCCACCCCCTTTTCACACTCCTCCTCCTCCTCCTCCTCCTCCACCTCCTCCTCCTCCTCCTCCTCCTCCTCCTCCTCCTCCTCCTCCTCCTCCTCCGTCTCCTGCTCCTCATCCTCCTGATCCTCCTCCTCCTCGTCCTCCTCCTCCTCCTCCTCCTCATCCTCATCCTCATCCTCCTCCTCCTCCTCCTGTTTCCCCTGCTAGTGCGTACGCCCTTCGATCGATGAGAAAGAACAGAGTCCAGATCATTCACGCCAGTTGCAAGACAAGGCGCGTCGTGCAGGGATGGCACGGGAGGAGGAGGAGGAGGAGGAGGAGGAGGAGGAGGAGGAGGAGGAGGAGGGGGAGGGGGAGGAGGAGGAAGAGAGAAGGGGGAGGAGGAGGAGCAGGAGGAGGAGGAGGAGGAGGACGAGGAGGAGGAGCAGCAGCAGGAGGAGGAGGATGGGGAGGAGGAGGAAGAGGAGGGGGAGGAAACAAGAGGTCAGAGGAGGAGTAGGAGGAGGAGGAGGAGAAGGAGGAGGAGAGGAGAAGAGAGGTCAGAGGAACAGGGGGGCAGAGATGAGGACGGAGGACAGAGGGAGGAGGCAAGGGGAAGAGCACTTCGAGCGGTGTATTTAGAACACCCAGCTTTTTCGTTTACTGAGGCGGTGGCGCTCGATGACGCCATCCATTTCGTGCCCAAAGGAATGTCTGAGCATTTGTCGGCTAAAAGTGTCGAGAATTCTACATCATTTCATGTGTCAATTGCGTTGTGATATGTTATTCTAGGGTGCCTTGTGTGGTTTGGTCTGTCACGGTGGGCGACCAGTAGCGTCGGAAAGAGAGGAAAAGGGATGGATGAATGCGGGAGAGATTGGAAGGGGAGAAGGAGGAGGAGGAGGAGGAGGAGGAGGAGGAGGAGGAGGAGGACGACGAGGACGAGGAGGAGAAGGGGAAAGAGGAGGAGGAAGAAGAAGAAAAAGAAGAGGAGGAGGAAGAAGAGGAGGAGGAGGAGGAAGAGGAATAGGAGGACAATAAGGAGAAGGGAAGCAAGAGGAGGGAGGAGGCAAGAGGAGGGAGGAGGCAAGAGGAGGAAGGAGGGAGGGGGCAGGGAGGGAAGAGGGAGGAGGA